TGATGAAAATGAAATTGTAAATGGATTTAATCATCATTTTGTGAACGTTGGATCAAGCCTTGCAGCTAAAATACCAAAAGTAGACAATAATGTGAACCATTCAGTTATAAGTTGTGACAACAGTATTTTTCTTAATGGAACTGACAAAGAAGAAATAATGAATGTAATAAAGAATCTTACAGATAAGAGATCAAAAGACTGGGCGGACATGGATATGATGTTTGTAAAGGACATAATGAGTTATGTTATCGAGCCGTTTACATATATTTGTAATTTATCATTTTCAAAAGGAATATTTCCAGACAATATGAAAGTAGCTAAGGTAGTTCCTCTCTTTAAAAATGGTGATAAATATGTGTTCAATAATTATAGACCAATATCCTTATTACCACAGTTCTCAAAAATTCTAGAAAAACTGTTTGTGACCAGATTAGATAAATTTATTACTAAACAAAACATTCTAAGTAGCAGTCAGTATGGGTTTAGAGCAAAAATCTCTACATCAATGGCTCTCATGGAAATAATGGAACAAATAACTACTGCTGTCGATCAAAAACAGTATTGTGTTAGTATTTTTGTTGATTTAAAAAAAGCATTTGATACTATTGACCACACTATTCTCCTTGAAAATTTAAATAAATATGGTATAAGAGGACCAGCATTACACTGGGTATCTAGCTATTTAAAAGTTAGGAAACAGTTTGTACAAATAAATGGTGTAAGATCTGACCTGTGTAATATCACTTGTGGAGTTCCTCAAGGCTCTGTACTTGGACCAAAGTTATTTATTTTATATGTGAATGACTTAGTGAATGTATCAGGACTCCTCAAATGTGTCCTTTTTGCAGATGACACCACATTTTTCTGTTTGGGTAAAGATGTAAAACGGATGTTGAAATTGATGAAGACAGAATTTGATAAAATACAAACTTGGTTTAATCTTAATAAATTATCATTAAATTTAGATAAAACTAAATACATGATATTTAGTAACAAAAAGAAAACTGTTGATGATCCATTTAAAATTGAGGGTGTTGAAATTTGTAGAGTTAATGAGATGAAATTTTTGGGTGTAATCATTGATGAACAGCTCACATGGAAAAATCACATAAATTCTGTAAGAACAAAAATATCTAAATCTATTGCAGTACTATACAAAGTCAGGGAATTATTAAATGATAAAGCTCTGTACATGTTGTATAACACAATCATTGTTCCACATTTAATCTATTGCATTGATGTTTGGGGGAAAGCGTGTAAAACATTTACAAAACCTATTTTTATTTTACAGAAAAGAGCTGTAAGAATCATCACCAGAAAGCATTACAGTCACCCATCAAGCACATTATTTTATCAACTGAAGTTATTGAAGTTCCATGATTTGGTGGATTACAGTATTTTATCAGTTATGTATAGGGCTCAAAATAACACATTACCATTAAATATCCAAAGAAATTTTGATAAAAGACAAAGTTGTTATAATCTTAAGGGAATAGAAATATTTGTCAAACCAAAATTCAGAACTAGTCAGAAGGGAAGGTCTACCTCAATCCAAGGAGTTGGATTGTGAATGGTCTAGAGAGTGATGTGAAAAATGCCAAGTCAATGTGTACATTTAAGAAAAAGATCAAAATTGAATTGTTAAAAAAATATATATGAAGTAGCTTAGTGTGTGTTTTGTATTAGAATTAGAAAAATTAGAAAGAGTTATTCATTTTGTACTGTTACTTGAAGATTATTATGTCTGAAATAATTGTTTGAAAAAAGGGGCAGATATAATAAGATTTTTTCTTCTTTCTGCTGCCTTTCATTTTAAATCTTTTGTATCCTTTTTTTATATTGTTATGGAATTGTTTTGTACTTTTTTTAAAATGAATAAACTATATACCATACCATACCATAAATGGTAGGAGCATAATATACACTCCCAATGTTTTGTTGGTCTTTTTTGTTGTTGTAAATAAATCCTTTTTTTTGCGATTTTATTTATTTATTTATTTTTGTATCTTGAGATCTATGACATCATCAAATACTCAAGTTCTACTTGTGTTTTATTATGTTAATGTCGAGTTTAAAAATTATAAACTCGTTCAACCCTTAGTGTAGTGTATGTGGTCCAATGCAGCGAGGACTGTTCAGACCTCTACATTGGAGAAACTAAACAGCCTCTTCACAGACGCATGGCTCAACACAGGAGAGCCAGCTCTTCAGGACAAGACTCAGCTGTTCACCTCCACCTCACAGATAAGGGACACTCTTTTGAGGACCAAAATGTGCACATTTTGGACCAAGAACACAGATGGTTTGAGAGGGGGGTGAAGGAAGCAATTTAATGTTAAAAGCGAAAACCTGTCTCTTAACAGAGGAGGAGGCCTCAGATTTCCACTTTCAAAAACATATAATGCAACTTTAAGACAGATTCCCAGCCAGTTTTCACACTTGATGGGAACAGAGGGGTCTCATCTGTGAATTAGAGTAACAAAGACCTTAAGAAACCCCTACTGTTAAGGTGTTGAGGTGTGAATTGTCAATCTACATATGTGTGTGTGTGTCTTATCTCACTCAGCCTTATAACCTGAATCTCTCACTCTCTGCTCTTTGAATTGAGAAAGCTCCTCGGATGAGGAGCGAAACGTCTTCTTTTACAAATAAAGTCCAGTTGTTTTTGTATTGAACATTTTTTGAATGTATTTACTGTCTGTTTGGAAGCTGCTACTATGCTATATACACCTATGAGTACATGACAAATTTCCCCTAGGGGACAATAAAGTATATTCTATTCTATTCTGTTCTATTCTAAGGTAAACAATGCAATGACATGCTGAGGACAAGAAGAACTGTCTCGACTCGCCATAACAAAACAACAACAAATACCAAATCATGCAGCAAAAATACAAAAACAAGGCTCTAACAGTGAAAAAGAAATACAACTACAGTGAGGTTCGGTTAGGTTCTTTCAGCATGAATGATCCAAGCAGCTCTGCTGTCAGGAGCAATTGAAATGGGTAGGGTCTCCTATATTGAGCTTAGATGACAGGAGTGATTCAGGAAGAGATCAAGGAGCTAGATGTCTCCTGCCCAGATTTGAGTTTTTGGGGTCCCACCCTGGAGTCTGGGGGAGAGGTTCATGGATAAGCTCCATGTAAATACCCATGGGGCCCGGTCGGGCTCAGCCCAAATGAGCAACATGGGTTTGTCTTCCTGTGGGCCCACCACCTGCAGGAGGGGCCATACCAGTCGAGGGTAGTGTCCATGGGTAGTTGCCAAAGGCGGGGGGCCTTGGCTAAAATCTAGAGGATAATAATTCTGTGTACCAAGGACATGACCAGAAGTCTAAGTCCTGCCTTTCTGATGGTATTGGGGTGCATGAATGGCATGGGCAGCTTACAAATCTGGAAAAGCATTTTAAAAATGTATGAGTCTCAGAACAACACATGCTCACATCCAGACGGTCTTTTTCAGAGGAGGGTCTTCACTGAAAGAGTTCAGGAGCTGATCTGGCCTACAGGTCAAACCTCTCACCAACAACATGAAACAAATATCAAGTAAAACATGCTCAGGACCGTTGAACAGCTAGAAACTGAATCAGACAAGAATGGGACAACAGACCCCTCTAGGATCTGGTCTCCTCAGGTCCTAGACGTTTACAGACTACAGATGGGACACTTCACAGCAATAAACATGGCCTTTTACAGCATTTTTTATTAATTATGTTGCTGCCAAAATTGCCTTTTTTTTATTATAAAAACAACAAAATACTAAATAAAATGTAAAAAAAACATTTCCCTTTTCCCATATTGGAATTTATGAGAAATAGAGAGCTGTGGTGGCCAAAAGTTCTTTACATGTCCATCCATCCATCCATCCATTTTCTTTACCCGCTTATTCCATTTTGGGTCACGGGGGTCGCTGGTGCCCATGTCCAGCAATCACTGTGCGAGGGGCGGGGTACACCCTGGACAGGTCGCAAGTCCATCACAGGGCCACATAGAGACAAACGAGACAAACAACCATTCACTCTCTCACTCACACCTAGAGACAATTTAGAGTTACCAATCAGCCTAACATGCATGTTTTTGGTCTGTGGGAGGAAACCGGAGTACCTGGAGAAAACCCACGCATGCACGGAGAGAACATGCAAACTCCACCCAGAAAGGCCCCTGGACCGGGGTTTGAACCAGGGACCTGCTCGCTGAGAGGCAGCAGCTCTACCAGTTGCGTTCTTTACATGTGGAAAAGTATAATTTGAAAAATAATAAAAACTATATATATATATTTTTTTTATTTTTTTTATTTATTTTTTTTATTTACCCTTTATTTATACAGGTAGTCTCATACGAGAACTCATTTTCATATACATTCATATATAAAACGATGATGAAATACAAACATAAAGAACAAAGCAGTTACCTCCTCTTTAAATGAGCTTCTGTAAAATAAAGGCCCAGCACTAACTCAAGATGGACACACCACAGCCACATGTTGCCAGATGTGTCCATGCTTTGAACATGAACATTAAGTTCATGTGTTCAGCAGAATGTGGTTTGAGAAATATTTAGTTAACAAAGTGTGTGAGTCTCTGCTGCTACCACACCACACTGAGCTTAGTAACTGTAGGACTGATGGAGGAGCGGCCATCTTGGATGAGACTGATCCAGAAGATGATCAGCTGATTATTTCCTGGTTTCGAACCTCTGCTTCACCTTCAGATCCAGCAGGTGGCTCCAAAGCACCCCTCAAAAAAGAGCCTTCTTGTCCGAGCTTTCTGCGCCCCCCCCACACACACACACCCACACACACACACACCTTCCTGCAGATTTATAACAACTGGAGCGCGCAGTTAAACCCGGGTCCATAGAGCCGGTTTAGTAACAGCAGGAATAAAGAGGGCGGTGCGGGAGCTGCGGGATGGGCCGGAGGTACAACCAGAACCATGTAAGCTAACAGTTCCTGGCGAGCGGGGCTGGGGGGGGGGGGGGGACAGATCCCTGACTGGGGTCTGAATGATGGAGGAAGGCACGCAGCAGCATGAAGCGGAGGCTCCGTCGGAGGACGAGGAGCTTCTAAGATGGAGCAAGGAGGAGCTGGTGGGGAGGCTGCGGAGAGCGGCGGAGGAGAAGAGGGAGGTCATCGTGGAGCACGGCCATCTGATGAGGGAGGTGAACCGGAGACTGCAGCAGCACCTGAGCGAGATCCGGGGGCTGAAGGTGAGGCGGGACGTGCGGGACTGGTCCCTGCATGGGCGTGTGGGCGTTCTCCAGGGCCGGGGGGCTGCAGGACAGAGGGGTCCCTCTGGACCAGGTTCAGCACAGTCTGGGCCAGTCTGCAGTGCTTTCCAAGTCTGGATAAAAATGAATAAATAAATAAATAACAAAAAAAAAAAAAAATAGTAGACTGATTTTTCTTTTCTAATTTACACAAATCAAAATTAAACAAAAATAAATATCTCTAAATTAATTTAGTAAATAAAAGATATTTAAAATAACTGTGTGAAGTAACTTAGTTTTTATTTTATTTATTTATTTTTACAAAGTATAGTCTAAAAAATGCAACAAATCAGGCAATAATGCATTTTGTTAAAACAATCATGAAACAACTTTTTCTCACTGTGGAACAAACTTCCTACACATCGAGGTATATATATTTTTTACATTACTTAAAATGATACTGAATACAAAATCTGCTTAAATACTTGAATGTCATGGTATTATTGCTATTTAAGAGACATTTTTTAATCACCTAAAGACAGAACACAATAAAAACATTTTTGTCTTTGAGTGTGTTTGTTTGTCTGTACTGTTAGAAATAAATCTCATGCACTACTGTTTAAAGAAACTCTCAGAATGTAATCATTAGATGAGCATGTACAACCTCAATCAAAATGGCCACCACAGCCAACTGTCCTTAGCAAACACAAAACTGGCTACATTACAGTCAGATATTGAGGTAAAGGTTATACCCTGATGCATGCTCAATAATCCAGGTAGAAAAATCTAAAAAAGTTAAATCTGGTCCTCTGGACATTCAAAAAAACCCAAAACAAAGCAAAACAACAAAAAATGTAGAAACGTTTCGTCTCTCGTCCGAGAGACTTCCTCAGTCTGAGGTGCTGTTTTCAGCTCAGTCTCTTAAATAGCACCTTCTCAGAGTGGATCAACCAGTTTGCTGCTGACAACCAAAACCAGCTGATCACATGCTCAAGAAGGACCATCAGCCTAACAATGGATCATTAGCACACTGATGGCTGTGTACTATTCACAGAGGGCTGAGTGATACTAGGAATCACAGCATTGTAAGAGGGGACAATTGAACACGTAGGCCTCCACCCCTGTTTAATGATGGACGATTTCTTTTCACAAAGATGGCCGGGTTAAAAGGTTAAAAGGTAAAGGTTATACGTTTATAAGACAATAGCTTATTTCTTAAGACACACCTGTTTGAAGACAGATTTATACGGGTTTGGCTAAAAGAAATGAATAGAAGTCAGTAAAATGGGTCAGCTGTGGCTGAGTGGTTAGAGCAATCATCCTCCAATGCGAGAGTTGGGGGTTCGAGTCCACCAGCAGTCACATGTCATATTGTCTCTGGGCAAGACACTGAACTCCTCATTGCCTCTGATGTGTGTCCCATCAGTGTATGAATGTGATAAAGCTCTGATTATTCTTTGTATAAATCTAGTAGAGTGCTGTATGAATGGGTGAGGGCACAGATTGTGTTGTAAAGAACTTTGAGTATCTCAATAAGATAGAAAGGTGCTATATAAGTACATTTACCATTATCCATTTAAAATGTCTTATTATGGGTAGAAATACAAACTCGTGTTTGTTTTTCTTTAAACCAGGATGTGAACCACAAACTGCTGGAGGACAACCAGGAGCTGCGGAACCTGTGCTGCTTCCTGGATGATGACCGGCAGAAAGGGAAGCGGCTGTCCCGAGAGTGGCAGCGTCTGGGTCGGTTCAGCGCCAGTGTGATGAGGAAGGAGGTGGCCATCTACCTGCAGAAGGCAAAGGAGCTGGAACAGAGGCAGATGGAGGTCATTGGCGAGAACCTGGAGCTGAAGGAGGTGTGCTTGATGCTGGCTGAGGAGAGAGCTGCAGCTACAGATGGAGGCAGGTGCCATGGGGGGCTTGGAGGTCAAGGGGACCCCGGCTGCAGGAACTCCATAGACAGCCAGAGCAGTGTGTCTCATTTGGTGGGAGGCGGGCCTGCATACAGCCTGCTGCGGGATGTTGGCGATGGGAGCAGCACCTCCAGCGCAGGGAGCACAGACAGCCCTGATAACCCCCACCACAAACCTCCTCTCCTGAGCTCTGTTGCCAGCCTAGGGTCTGGGTCAAGGTATGTCTCCTTAGAGCGATACAGAAACACGTGTAAGTCCCCTGCAAGGAGGCACAGCTTGAGCATGGAGTACCACACCTTCCCACAGTCCTGCTGCACCTCAGGGAGGTCCCTCACAAACCTGGACCCCCATGGAATTAATGGAGCCAGCCCTGAGAAACACAAGTCTCCTGGTAGGTTACAATGTGACCCCCACCCCAAAGCTTGCAGCACCGACCCCCAAGTCCAGAAACAGTTTCTGATGTCAGCGAGTGGGGACAAGGACATGGCTAAGTCCAGTCCAAAGATGAGTCAGAGACAGTGGCAGGGTCACAGGGCTGGTGTCGGCTGTAATGGTCCTGAGGGCAAGCAGGCAGCGATGGGGACCCCGGAGCACTTGAGGAAAGAGCGGGTGATTGTTGGGTGTCCAGAATCTATACGACACCACCATCAGCATGGCCCTGGGACAGAACATGGCAAGGGGAGGTACAGCAGGGAAAGGGGTACCAGAAGACCTGTGGGAGAGGAGACGAGCCCCCAACACCAGAGTCTATACAACGGTAGACACACAGTAACACCTGTATTTTAATAGTTTCTGCCCAGATAACTAACGTTTGTACAGATGGCCCAACTGAGAATTATTGGATTTGGTACCTGGATGATTGGGCATGAACTTTGTTAACGTTTGTACAATTTCAAGACAGATTTGTGTCTGTTGGTTTCTTTGGTTTGCAGGGTTTCTGAATCAAACACATTGATCTGATTTAGTGTGTCAGTTTTACAGATAAAGCTAAGTTTGTCTCTGGCTGAAAACAGTTTTCTTTAAAGTAAAATCTTGTGAGGTCTGACTCATTTTGCAGGCCCTCTTTCCTCTGATCCTTCCAAAAGCAGCTGCTGCAGCATCTGGGAGCTGCTTATGCATGCACACTGCTGTCCTTTTGCTTTGTAGAGGCTGCACACTCTGGGACACGTTCTATCCCTGCTAACTTCGGAGCGGTCATATATGAAACGTTAAAGCACTGCAAAACACTTTGACAAAACTGAAACTGCAAAATAAACTTTTTAATCAAAGCAGAGGAACAACTTAGAGACACCTCCATGACAACAAGTCATACCATCAACACTGGTCTTTGTATGCAGGGATGTCTAGATCTTGTTTTTATTCACTATACTTTCATTCAACCTTTATTTATACAGGTTAATCCCAATGAGCCTCGGGAACTCATTTATAAGAGAGACCCGAATTTTTAACAGAGTGATGACAACACTGGACAACAATGACAACAATAGACAATCATAAATGATGCGTACAAATTATATATTTTTTTAACAAGTTAAAATAAAATTGCAACCAATAGGTCAATCAAAAGGAAATGTAACAAAAACAGCTAGATTATAAGGCAGTGTAGAAAACTAAAAACAGGAACATGTTTGCATTGTTTTTTGTCAGGAACTTAACAGATGTAGTGAACTAGGCCTGAGGTCAAATCCTGACCTTAAGGACCTTATGGGACAGAAACTGTCATTTCATTGATTTGAATCCAGAAATACAGGTTGACCCATCCTGAGACTTTCTTTCTTGAATTAATCAAGTGAAAGAAGACTACTTTCGATTATCATTACTATTTTACAAATGTTTGATAATCAAATTGTGTTAGTTCAAACAATATTTAAATGTTGAAGTGAACTACTCATTTTTAATTAACTGTGAAACAGTAATAATGATTTTTAATCCTCATTCAAAGTGAAATCAAGTTGGAATATGTTACAGAGTAATGATTCAATTTCTTGATCGTCTGTTTGAAATGAGCAAGTTGTGTAAGTTGGTCAAAGTTCAAGTTTCGGTCAACTGCAAGTTTACTGAAAAAGAAATGTCATGTTTAACTTTTACATACATCTAGATGTAGATGAACATATGCTGATATATATTCATAAATTAAACGGATTCTTTCATTTTTCTGGACTGGATAATATCGTGCATTGAATAATTAAAAATGTAACGTGAGACGTTAATTATCTTTGACTCACCAACGACAGTGGGTCATTTATTAACAGAATCAAGTTTAACACATCACACATTTACATTAATTGGCAAAAATTGAAAATAACAACAGCTTATTTAGGCTAGTTTTACAAGGAGGAAACAATACGGCGATTGTTTCCCTTGCTTCTGGATTAATTTGCTAGCAGATAGAAGAATTTTAAAGATGGGAAATGAAGTTTAAGTTGAGAGAGATGGGGAGGGAATTTGTCTGTTATAACCAGAAACAGCACGCTCCTTCTAGACCAGCTTGACCCAACGGTACACTTTGGTTGAGATCACTCTTTACCTTTGCAGATGATAGTTTCAGCGTTGGTGTAGAGCTTTCCTTTCAACTCTTCCAGCGTCTCCGTAAGAACAGCTAAACCTCGGGAGTCGTGAGATCATCCAGAACAGACATTTCATAATTCCCTGATCTTCTCTCGTTCAGCTTGATTTTTCTTTCTCCAACATCCTGAATTCCAGCCTTCTGAACTCTGGAACTGCATTCTCTCAGCGTTCTCCTCAGCGTTCTTCCCAGAACTGCCGAGAACTTCTCAGAACTACTGAGCTCTCCAGAACTCGACTGGAGCTGGAACCTCTGCAGAACTTCCGTGAACTAGGAAGTGTTGCACCTTTTAAAAAAGGTCACTTCCGGTTCATTTGAGAACTTTCTGATTGGTCGATGGACCAAAACAGAGGTGTGTTTTTTTGATGTAAGGTGTTATTAAAAAGTCAAGGAAAAAGATTAGGATTGTTTAAGAACAGACAGAAGATATTATGAAGAACTCAGACTTCGTGGAGTCAATTCTCTAGTATCTTGCTGTAAAAGTTAAACATGACATTTCTTTTTCAGTAAACTTGCAGTTGACCGAAACTTGAACTTTGACCAACTTACACAACTTGCTCATTTCAAACAGACGATCAAGAAATTGAATCATTACTCTGTAACATATTCCAACTTGATTTCACTTTGAATGAGGATTAAAAATCATTATTACTGTTTCACAGTTAATTAAAAATGAGTAGTTCACTTCAACATTTAAATATTGTTTGAACTAACACAATTTGATTATCAAACATTTGTAAAATAGTAATGATAATCGAAAGTAGTCTTCTTTCACTTGATTAATTCAAGAAAGAAAGTCTCAGGATGGGTCAACCTGTATTTCTGGATTCAAATCAATGAAATGACAGTTTCTGTCCCATAAGGTCCTTAAGGTCAGGATTTGACCTCAGGCCTAGTTCACTACACATATGTTTAGTCACTTAGAAAGGTCAAGGTTGAGAGCTTCAGATCTTTTTATAAGATATTCCAGGAAACAGGAGCGGAGTAGGAGAAGATCCTTTTGCCAAGTTCAGTCCTCACTGAGGGAGCACTGCAGGTAATAATGTCCTGAGAGCGCACGCTGTAGCTGCACTCATGCAGAGACATGTAGGAGAAGATATCTGAAGGCAGCAGACCAAGAAGTGATTTAAAGATGAAAATGTACCAGTGGGAGAGTCTGCGTGAAATTAATGATGTCCAGTTAACCAGTAAATACAGTGTTGGTACGGTAGTTACAGCCAGTTATGAATCTTGGCGCACCATGATAGACAGCATCCAGCATCTGCAGGGTGCTTGTAGGAGCATTCATGTAAAGGATGTCACCGTAATCAATGGAGGGAAGGATAATTGTGGTTACAAGGTGTTTCCTAGCATTCAAAGTTAAACAAGATCTATTTCTGAAAAAGAAACCCAGTTTAACTTCCAGCTTCCTTAGCAAGTTTTCAACGTGAAGCTTTAAAGCTTTCCCTCCATTGATTACGGTGACATTATTTACATGAACGCTCCTACAAGAACCTGCAGATGTTGGATGCTGTCTATCATGGTGCACTAAGATTCATAACTGGCTGTGATTATCGTACCCACCACTGCACCCTGTATTCACTGGTTAACTGGACATCATTAACTTCACGCAGACTCTCTCACTGGTACATTTTCATCTTTAAATCACTTCTTGGTCTGCTGCCTTCATACATCTCCTCCTACATGTCTCTGCGTGAGTGCAGCTACAGCGTGCGCTCTCAGGACATTATTACCTGAAAAGTTCCCTCAATGAGGACTGAACTAGGCAAAAGGGCCTTCTCCTACTCCGCTCCTGTTTCCTGGAATATCTTACAAAAAGATTTGAAGCTCTCGACCTTGACCTCTCTAAGTGGCTTTAAGAATCTGTTGGACTCCTGGCAGGGTCCAATGCTGACATGTTCCTGTTTTTAGTTTTCTACATTCGCCTTAGAATCTAGCTTTTTTTTTTGTTACCTTTTTCTTTTAGCCATCCTATTTGTACCCCCCCCCCCCAAAAAAAAACAAAAAAACCTGCAGTATGACTTTTTATAATAGTTTATTGTTGTTGATGTTGTCCATTGTTGTCATCTTTCTTTGTTGAAATCAGGTCTCTCTTGTAAATGAGTCCTCGAGGCTCAATGGGATTTACCTGCCTAAATAAAAGTTGAATGAAAATAAAGAGAGATGCAAATTGACCAAGATACCCAAGTATTTATAGGAACCAACAAACTCTATCGGGACACCATTTGAGAATAAAATCAGAGGAATAACTGCTGGGATCGACTTCCTGTTTGAAAACAACATCCCTTTGGTTTTGTCGGTGTTTAGGACAAGTTTGCAACAGAACAAATCAGTCTGGATGATGCCGAAAACGGATTGCAAAAGCTAGAAAGCTTGAGCAACTGTTTTAGCTCGACAATAAACAACTGTATCATCAGGATAGATGTGTAAGGAAACTAATTAATACTAATTAAACTAATACTAATTAACCCTCATATCATTTTTAATCTTTATAATCAAAGAAACCAATATAACTGCAAGTAACGAAGCCTTATGTCTTTAAAGGCTTACAGAATCCTAACCTTTCTTGACGGAAATTCATTATCGTCCAACTCCTTTCAAGTCACAGTTTTAAACTAAGTTCATCTTCTAAACAGGTTTCTCTTGAAAATGAGTCCTCATGACTCAGTGAGACTATCTATACTGTATAAATAAAGGTTAAATTAAATAATAAAAAAAAAAATCTTGCGTCAAGTTAGCCTTTTTGCTCAAACGTTGAAATTAACGTTATGTACAATCAATATTATGTCATGCATAGAATATGGTATGTGTTGTGGATGCTTCTCAGCTACTACCACCCCAACTTTTTGCTCATTATAGTCCTGTTTGCAGCATAGTGCTGTTAGTAGTGTGGTTCTGTTAGCAGCATGGTGCTGTTAGCAGCGTGGTGCTGTTAGCAGCATGGTCCTGTTAGCAGCATGGTCTTGTTTGCAGTGTGGTCCTGTTAGCAGTATGGTCCTGTTAGCAGAATGGTCTTGTTTGCAGTGTGGTCCTGTTAGCAGTATGGTCCTGTTAGCAGAATGGTCCTGTTTGCAGTGTGGTCCTGTTAGCAGTATGGTCCTGTTAGCAGAATGGTCCTGTTAGCAGTATGGTACTGTTAGCAGAATGGTCTTGTTTGCAGCATGGTCCTGTTAGCAGAATGGTCTTGTTTG